GCCCCGGTCCCCCGCAGCAGCCGCCGCGCCATGCTCCACCTTAGCGAGTTTTCTGGCCCCGACACGCTTCTGGTCAAGTCCGCCGACGACGGCTGTTGCTCGGAACCCAGCACCGAATTGCCCCGGCTGCCCGTCAGGGACGCGGCCGCTGGCTACCCCGGAGGTAAGAAGCGCGGCAGGGGGTGCTCAGACGGCGGCGCAGTGCGGGGGCGCACGGTGCCTGAGACAGGCTGGGATTGGGATGCAGGAGGTGTGGGGGTAGCGGTCGTAGGAAGCTCGGGGGTCTTGGGCTGCGCTCCGCCATTGCCACCCCACCGGGCCGTCAGCGCCTCCGCAGGAAATTGTGCGTGTATCAAGGTGTCCTTTTTGCCTGTGCACGTGTGTTTTGGATGTGCATGTTTTTGTGTGCGTCTTGGAGCGTATGGCTGCTCCAAATGGGTTAGAATGTGCAAAAAGGCACTTTATGTGTATCTGTGGGCACCCAGGGATCCTTGGGTAGGGGCCGTGGCCCGAGGCGCGCCCTTGCCTGTGCCTGGAGTTGATTCCTGCTCCTTCCTCAGCAGGCGACTTCTTGAGCTGGGCTTTGAGCAGCTGCAGCGCCGGGGGGGATTTAGCCGACTCCTGCTTCCTGGAGGGGCCTGCGCCCACACCCCCTCCCAGCCTCAGCTACAGCGGTAGCTTCTTCATCCAGGCAGTGCCCGAACACCCGCACGACCCGGAGTCACTCTTCAACCTCATGTCGGGCATCCTGGGCCTGGCACCTTTCCCCGCCCCGGAGGTGGCAGCATCCCGGTCTCCGCTGGACGCTTTTCCCTCGGTTCCCGACGCCTTTCTGGCGGGTCCGCCGGACCTTTACTCCCCGGACGTGGGCGCTGCCGCCTTCACAGAGGCGTTCTGGGAGGCCTCCCCCTCGGCCGGCACCCCTTCGCAGTGCCTGTATGAGCCTCAGCTCTCCCCACCCGACGTCAAGCCAGGCCGCCGGGCCCCTCCGGCCTCTCCAGCGCTGGACACTGCCTCGGCCTTCAAAGGTCCCTATGCTCCCTGGGAGCTGCTTTCAGCCGGGGCCCCAGGGAGCTGTGGGTCACAGGGAGGCTACCAGGCGCCCTCCGAGGCCCGTTTCCCCACGGTGGGGACCAAGATTGAAGACCTGCTGTCCATCAGTTGCCCCGCGGAGCTGCCGATCGACTCGGCCAACAGACCCTACCCGACGGGGGCCTACGACGCTTTCCCGCTGGCCTTGGGGAACTTGGGGGAGGCGGCCGAGGGCCTCCCGGGGCTCCTGACCCCTCCTAGCGGGGAGGGAGGGAGTAGTGGCGACGGCGGGGAGTTTCTGGCCGGTGCGCAGCCTCAGCTTTCCCCGCTGGGCCTCCGCAGCGCCGCGGCGGACTTCCCGAAACCCCTGGTGGTGGACATCCCTGGGGGCAGCGGCGTGTGTGCGCAGCTTTGCGCGTTCCGACGAGCTCAACCGCCACCTGCGCATCCACACGGGCCACAAGCCCTTCCAGTGCCGCATCTGCCTCCGCAACTTCAGCCGCAGCGACCACCTGACCACGCACGTGCGCACCCACACGGGCGAGAAGCCCTTCGCCTGCGACGTGTGCGGCCGCCGCTTCGCGCGCAGTGATGAGAAGAAGCGGCACAGCAAGGTGCACCTCAAGCAGAAGGCGCGGGCAGAGGAGCGGCTCAAGGGCCTTGGCTTTTACTCGCTGGGCCTCTCCTTCGCCGCCCTGTGAGCAAGAAGTAAGTTTGTAGATGGGGGCGCCCCCGCGCCGCGCGCCGAGGAAGACCCGGCCGGCCCCTTTCCCGGCACGCCCCGGGGGAGGCCTCCGATCCGGTTCGAAGCGCCCGCCACTCGCGCCCCGTTTAGCACCGGCTCCGTGGACAGCTCCCGCCGTCCAGGATCGTCTCCTCCTCGTCTGCAGCGCTTGGGGGAAGTCATTTCCTTGGGACTCAAGGGTGTTTTGTACCTGGCGCACGCCCCACGCCGTCCCCTAATCACCCGCCCCCCGCCTTCGTGGTCCCCCCAAAGACAGGCTGGGGCAGCGCCGAGCCGGTCTCGAGCGGTATTTTGTACAGTAATGTTTCCAGCAGCAATTGGATGTACCGTTTTGCTTTGGGGCTATTTCCTGTTTGTTGTTCATTTTTGTAAAGCAGACGCTACGCTCAAGCAGTGCGCAAAACTGTTTATTTTTGCAATTAAAAGCATTGTGCTAAAAGCTTACTTTATCTGCCATCTAAGCTTCTGACCCTTCCTCCCAACCCCTTCCCCACCCCTGCACCCCTCCAAAAAATGTGACTCCTTACATTCATGGAGTCATTACCCACCTACTGTCAGGCACTGTGGCACATAGTAGGCATTCAATAAATATGTACTGAATTAACAGATGAATTTAATCACAGCTAGCCTAAGGGCTCAAGGGGTTTCTGAAAATTGTGCATATATTATCCTCCTTAATCCTGAGTGCAGCAGTCATATACATCCTCCATTTCAGAGATTCAGGAAGCAACCTACATAAACTTTCTGGGTAACCCAGCTAGGAACAGTCAGGGTCAAACCCAGATCTGTCTGGCTGCAAAATCAATGCTTTTTTTTCCCAACCCCAGAATGGCAGAACCTCAGCTTAATAGCATTGTTTGGGAGGCTTCCTCCCAAGAGGTGAAATAGGTTCTGTAACTAGAGGGAGCCCCAGGCAGTAGCAACAGCAGCAGAAGATGGCCGCATTTCAGTGCTGTGTGTGTGAACACCCAGTGTGTTGGGTGTCACAGTCTCCAGCAAGTGCCTATACACCTGTACGAGAATCACATGCTGTCAGTGCCCAAAGGGACTGAGCATCCATCTGGATTATTGATGGACAGAGCCAAGCCTAGAGAAGAGGGTGCTTGCCCGGGGCTCGCAGCCACCCACCTCTCATAAAGCTGCTCTTTCCACAACGGTTCTTCTCCAGGAGGCAGAAGCCCCCTTACCAGCCAGTTTTGTTTTGCACTTGCCATAGCCCCTTTCCTCTAACTCTCCTCCAGGTGAATCCCATCATGGCTTTTGGGGGGAAGGATGCAGCTAAGAGGGTGGTGAGGACAGCATGACCCTATGATAGGGAAGGTGGGTTTCACTTGGTGCCCTTCACTCCCTAAACTTCAAACCCAAAAGTTTATACGCTCTTTCTGGTCCCCTTGGGCAGAGATCTTGGGCATTAAAAGCCTGTCATGCATCGCATCTCTCCTCCCCAGCAACTCCTGTCTGATAAGGAAAGGATGGCCTGTCTGGGGGGCTTCATTCTTTTCTGAGGTGTGCTATTCTTTTTTTTAAGACACTATTTTTTTTAAAAAAATGATTTTTAGAGAGAGAGAGGGAGAAGAGAAAAAAACCATTGATTTGAAAATAGGATTCCACCTATGTATGCATTCATTGGTTGATTCTTATTTGTGCCATGACTGGGGGGGATTGAACCCATAACTTGGGTATATTGGGGTTCAATATACCAAATGAGCTATGCTTCAACCAAGAGGTGAAATAGAGAATTCCACCCATTTTTCTCCCCAGGTGTTAAGTGCTTTCATGTAGTTGAGTATCTTGTATCTAATAAACCAATTTGTGATACAGGATTTGATATTACCTCTTCTAGGAGTTAACATTTTAAAAGAATGGCCTGCAGAGGGCAATGTTTAACCCTAGAGAGAGACTCAAATGGTGGACTGTCAAGTATTGTAACAGATTCATGGAGACATAAGGTAATGATGACTCTCATTACGTACCATTTAAGTGATCACACCTCTCACACTGACCACCTGAGTTCACTTTCCGTGAAGAATAGGTAAGGAAGAGCACGAAGGCCCAGATCTCCAGCAACTGGTCCCAAAACACATAACCTGAACAAAGGAAGAGGGCAGACAGGCCGTGGTGGGTGGCATCTCACCACCCCGCCCTTGCCTTCTTCATCAGCATTCCATCAAGTAGTCTGCTCTATTGTGCCCCATCTTGTCCTCACACCTATCTAGGCCAAATATCACTGATGAGAAAATTGACTTAATAGTAGTGCTAGTACCAGAGCCCAGCCTGGTTCTAGAACTCTCAGCGGAGAAGTCCCTCCTATTACTCCCAACGGAAACAGCTGCATTTTCTGGACTGTCCCCTAGGGATTCTGAGGGGAAAGAATGTTAAGCAGGAGGTGGAAAGAATTAAAATCAAACCACCGGAAAATCAGGACCCAAACAGAGAGCAAGTAAAGCTTCTCTTTTCATTTGGTTCTCAAAATGTGGATGTTTCCCAGATTTAGTTTTATTTCAACACTCTCCTAGGAGAGCACATTCATTCCTGGGGACTTCATCTATCACTGCTCCATAGATGACTTCTAAGTCGGGCAGCCCTGGTCCCTACCCCAGCTGCAGTCCCGTGGTTTTAACGCACATCTCCGTATGGGTATCCTACCACCATTTCAAATACAATCTGTCTAAATCATCCTTCTGTATATACTGTACCCAATTTCTGCTAATGGTGACCATCATTTGTTTGGTTCCCTAAACTCACTTAAATCATCACAGTTCTTCTGTGGGATGCACCTTTGACTCTCCCCTTCCCCCATCCAGGCTGCCACTTAGACCTGTTGTCTTCTGGGTCTTATCTACTCTTATCTCATTCAGGGTATATTGTTTCCTTTTATGTATTGTAATTTTTATCTAGTGAACTAATCTTCAGTGGGGATTTTCCAGGGCAGTAATATTCTGTGACCTGGGTTGAGGGTATGTTTCTTCTGAGCAATGTTGTGTTTGCTTGTGCCCGGCATTCCAGGAGAATCGACTGATGGGAGACCGGTCTTTTTTGTTTAAATATATTTTTATTGATTTCAGAGAGGAAGGGAGAGAGAGAGAGATAGAAACATCAATGATAAGAGAGAATAATTGGTTGGCTACCTCCTGCATGCCCCACACTGGGGATCAAGCCCGCAACCTAGGCATGTGCCCCCCAACTGGGTATCAAACTGTGACCTCCTGGTTCAGAGGTTGAAGCTCAACCACTGAGCCTTGGTAGCCAGCTGGGCTGATGGAAACCTAATTTGTACCATGCAGGTGTTGAGTTCAAACTCTAACTCATTTAGTTATAAATTCTCAGAGGCAACTCCTCCTACTCTAAGCAGAACCACCCAGGCCAGGACAGACAAGCAATATTCCTTCCTCCCTATACATTCTGGGATTAGTCACAGCACATCTCATGCTTACATTTCTTTTCTTTTTTTAAAAAATATATTTTATTGATTTTTTACAGAGAGGAAGGGTAAGGGATAGAGAGTTAGAAACATCGATGAGAGAGAACCATCGATCAGCTGTCTCCTGCACACTTCCCATTGGGGGTGTGCCTGCAACCAAGGTACATGCCCTTGTCCGGAATCGAACCTGGGACCCTTCAGTCCGCAGGCCGATGCTCTATCCACTGAGCCAAACTGGCCAGGGCTCATGCTTACATTTCTTGGTCTCAGTTCCTTTGTTTTGGTTCATGTAGATTTTCTTTCATTTCTTCAAGCTCAGCTAAGCACTTCGGGTGTCTCTTATATTTTGTGAATCAGTCCACGTATTGTGTAGCAGAAGGACTGTGGTGATAGCTGTTCAACAATACTGCTGAAAACTGGAGCCAGAAGATGTTGATTTCTCTATTAAAATATCTCCTGCATTTATCCTCTCTGAGCCTCTTGCCAGCACCTCGGCCCATGCCACGCCTTCCACATACATGAACACCCTGGCTGTGACTCACACAGAATCTCATAATAACATGTAGTTGGAAGGAGCTTATAAAAACATCCTGTCTGACCCTTCATGAGGAGAAAACTGAGGTGCAACAGGTTTGGGGATTTTCTTAAGGGCACACAGACGATATGAGATTGAAGTGGGCCTTGAATCTAGGCCTAACAGTTCCAGACCAGTGCATATCCATATATCCAGTCATTCCATAAGTGCCTACCATATGCTGGGCCAGTGGTTCCCAATTTCTTTCCCTTCCAATGCATCAGAGGAACTTGACACACACACACATCAGTAACAAGTTGCACTTACCATGGAGAGACAGGGAAGAGCAATAATAATAAGAATCTTGCCCAGCCAGCGGCTCCTATGAACTAGGAGGTCACGGATTGATCCCCGGTCAAGGCATATGACTGGGTTGCGGGCTCAATCCCCAGTGTGGGGCAGCAAGAGGCAGCCAATCAATGCTTCTCTCTCATCACTGATGTTTCCATCCTCTCTATACCTCTCCCTTCCTTTCTGAAATCAATAAAAAAATATTTTTTTAAAAAGGAATCTTGATTAGATGAAATATGGGGGAAAGTTTCACAAAGCAACCAAGAATGTCTTCTATTTTCTCCCCCTTCACCCCAGCCCCTGTCTCCCTGCTTGTGATAAGCCTGAACTATATCAAACTGCTTCCTGTGGTCCTTCTGCCTCCATTCTTTCTCCCTCCATTCCACATCACTACGACTGTGATTTCCTTAAAACATAATTGGTGGTGTTCTATCCCAAACTGACCATACCTTCCACCTTCCTATAAAAAAATACACTGCATTTAAAGCCCTCCATATCTAACCCAAATTTATCTTCCACCCTCCTCTGTTGTCTCTTCCCTCACTCTGCCCGCTCCCCTCCCCTCATGTATTAACCAAATCTTCCTACCCAACGGCAGAGACCTTGTCTGTTTCACATTGTGGCTGCCATATCACCAAGCCTACTGTCCAGCACACTTAAATGCTTAATTATCGTGTGGGCTCATTGGCAAAAAGGAAAAAAAAAAAGGTGCCTAAATGCCTAAAAGGAGAAAGGGAA